GGGATATGCTGGGCCGGGAAGGATCCATCGGACCTGTCCTTCGATTCGGGGAAAAAGAAGGACGTATTTGTCGGACGCATCGGAGGAGTCTTCCGTTTTGGAYGTCCTTCGTCGCGGCGCTGTGACGTATGCGGCCGACAAATTCGACCTTCGGAGGACCCGTCCTGCCGTTTTGGACACAGCCAATGTTGATCTTACTTCATGTAGAAATTCAGCTCTTTGGTTTTTTTCTGACTATAATAAATCTAAAAGAAAAAACATGTTACATGTTTTATGTTACGCGTTTGAAATAACTGTTTGGCACCTCATTTCAGCAGTCGCATGAGCCAATAAATAAATAAATAAATAATTAAAATAAAATAATCCAACATAAATGATTTGTTTGACCTTTGTTCTCGCAGATAAGTCGCCTCATTTCCTGCGACTTGGGGACGTGGAGGTGAACGCCGGGCAAAATGCCACATTTCAGTGTATCGCCACGGGACGAGACACCTCCAATAATAAACTCTGGTTACAGGTATGATCACAGTTGTGTATTGGCTTGAGTTTAGTGATGTGATTCATATCATGACACATGGGTCACAATATGATATATTGCAATATATTACGATACTGTAAGCAAGGTGAAATATTACGATATATTGCCATTTTTGTCCATAAATTGTTTTTAAAACCTCAGTATGATTTAAATGTATTTTATTTGTTTCATATTTCTTATTTCCTCCATGTGGTTGGTCCGGTTGGGCTAACCATCCAATGGTTAGGCCAAATGTGCCATTAAATAGTTTCACCTGACTGCTGCCAACTAGTGGTCGGAGGCTAAACTGCAACACAAAAAATAACTATTGGCAGAAAAGTTTACATTTTAAACCTTAATAAAAATTGATACAGAGCTTTAGAGAATGTATCGGGAAATAAAATATTGCGGTATTTCAGAGTGTCGATCTTTTCTAACACCCCAACACAACATATAAACAATATTTGTCAGCCTTTAATGGGGCAGTGAGTAGCACAAACTATACTTATGGTCTGATTAGAAATGTATTGGTCATATTTTAAGGTCTTATTGAATTATAAGAAAAATCACAACATTATTTGATATTTTTTGTGGTGTCTGCAGTTATTTCTCATCAAAAAAGATAATTAAAAAAACTGAACTAAAGAGAAATTAAATGTTTCTTTTTTATCAACTTTTTATTCACAGCACAACACAATTCTGTTCAAAACAGTAAAGGTTGTTTTTTTTTAACTCAATAGCAATTAAAACCATTTCACTCCAGAGAAATAATCTATTTGTTTCATATGTATGATGAAATATGCAGAAAAGTTAAAATAATATCAAATTGAATCAAGAGGCTGCGTGACTGAACATCGTTTACTATTAAAAGATTCTGCGTTTTTATTATTATGTGGCCCTTTATTATGCTCCTGTGTGTTTTCACAGACATTCATACAAATGAAACCAGATTTAATGTAGTTGGTCTTCACTAAATCTGCAATAAACATGATTTAATGTTGAGTTATGTTAGATTTAAAAGTAAATGAACATGTAGTAGATAAATAAAGAAAAACATGTGACAAACTGTTTATTCAGTGTTACGCTGTGTGACATTCTAAGGACAGGTATGTACAATTATAAAGTGTCTTACACACTCTCCCACACACACACGCACACACAAAGAATGTCTGCAGGCCATACATCTAGCCGCTAACATGATTAAGAGTTTAATAGCTGCTGATTTCATTAAGGCTCCATTGTAGTAATGACCTTCAAACCTTCTGTCAGTGAGGCAAAGGGGGATGAGAGTTTATGTTTGTGTGTGTGTGTGGGTGTGTGTCTGTGGTGCAAGGGCTGCCTCGTGCCCTTGACCAAGGCAGTTAAACCACTGCAGCGTCTGATTTATCTGTGTTTGTTTGTCTCCCTGTTTCAGAGGCGAAACGGAGAGGATATTCCAGTGGCTCAGACCAAAAACATCAACCACAGACGCTTCGCCGCCTCCTTCCACCTCAAAGAAGTCACCAGTCAGGATCAAGACCTGTACCGCTGCGTCACCCAATCAGAGCGCGGCTCTGGGGTGTCCAACTTTGCAGGCCTCATCGTCAAAGGTCAGATTAAATTTTTTTATTTTTTTAAATAAGTTTTATTTCTTTCTTTATCAGCGTTTTCTTTGCGTGCAGTTTTTAGTCACTGCAGAGTCAAATGATTTGCAAAATCCATCCCATTTAACAAGAAGACTGCATGACTGTGCAAATAATTTAATTTCCCCCTACCGGCTGTTATATTTTACTTCAAAAGAGACAAATTTGTTTATTATTTTAAAGTAGTTTTTCGGACTCTCTTTTTAACTTTAAGCAGCTCTTTCACACATTTTCTACATCCTCTGTTAGGTGATCGTTTTTGGTGTTAAAATACCATTTTACACATCGAGGTTGCACGTGTGTTAAACTTCTTTTAACAAAATACTTAAAAAAAATTGTTTTTTTTATTCTTCTTTTTTGTAGCTACAGCACTGGTTCATTGCTTTGAGATTGAGAGTCTAATTATGAAAGATTTATAGGTCAAAGTGGCTCAAATAAACAAAAACAACAACTTTAAAAGACTTGAAAAACCTGAAGAACCTAAAAAAAAAAAAACAGCTTTAAAATGAACAGAAAAATGCTGGGCTGCTTGGAAAAAAATTACAAAGAGATAAAAAATTCTGCTTGAATTATTAGTACATATATATGTGTATATATTAGGGGTGCTACGATACAGAAGCGTCTCGATTCGGTTCGATACTTTAGTCTAACGGTTCAATATTATTTTGATACAAAAAAGAGAAATGCCCATGTCCTTAACTGATAACTTATTCAAATTAATTATGAACATTTGTTCAACCTCAAAAGTCCAGTTTTTAAATGAAATTCTTCTGAAACAGCAAGTTTCTCAGTGGATCTGTGCTCCACAATGCAGCCTAGGTGGAGTAGTTGAACACAGATCCACTGATCCTTCAACACAGCATCTTCAGAAAAGTTGATAAAATAAAATGTTAAAAATCTGTATTGTGTATAATTTAATATTTAATTCTCATTTATATTTCTTGAACATTGACCAACTTTTCACTTCATGTACAGTATGTGTTGAAATATATAATTTCACGTCCAGTCAGATATGCTTTATCTGTGTTTGATTAGTTGTAATTCATTAACAGAGTAAAGACTAATGAGGAGAGCTTATGTTTGAGTTTATGCAGATCCTAGTTTGGCAGTTTGCTGTTAAAATGTGTGTTTGTGTGAGTAACTCCATTGTTGCCTGTGTGCATCGATGGAAGCTGTGTGTGGGCTCCAGCTGTCATGTGCATCTGACATGTGGTTAATAAGGTGTCACCAATGTGTGTTTGAGACGGGATGCTTTATTCATTCACTTTCAATAGCTTACATATTCAATTCATCTCCTGGGTAGGAGCTGAGGAGGAGGGTTACAGTGAGAGTGGGTAAAGGAGGAGGAGGAGGTTTGGAAGGAATGACGAGGGAGTGACAGAGAAAAGATGGGGGAGAAGTGGGAGACGGGTGTGAAAAGAGACGAGTGGAAACGGTGGGGGAAAGTTAAATGTACGCAGTCAGCTCATTATCCGAAGAATATCCATATCAGAATGGAGAATATGTCTGAATATGTAAACAGCCCAGCAGAGTCGTGTTTATTATTCTACATAGAGATGACGGAGCTGAAAGAAATAACAAATCAAAGCTGAGGCGAGCTCCATGAATATGAATATTGAATGATTTATCTCAGATAATGAAGCGCTCACGCTGTCCGACGGTATGGCCTCAGCTGTCTGTGTCACTTGACCCGAAATCGGCCAAACCCGGAGTTTCAACCCCCCACCCCCCCGGAAACAAATCAATTTGTTCTTTTCTTTGGTCAAGAAAATCTGTCGGCTCAAGCAGTCGCTCGGTGTCTTACTTTTCAAAAAGCCCCCTTTTTCCGCCGGATCTTGCTGATTTACTAAGAATACATAAGTGTCTCATGTTTATTTATCTGGAACATCTTTTTTGAAATATGAAAAAGGCAAAGAGAGAAGAGACGAGGACTCTCCACAGCATGGACCCATCAGACTAAACATAAACACAGGCGCAGTCTACAACCATGAAAACCAAACTAAAAACTCGAGGTTCTGTCAGACCTAATCGCAGCAGAACCAGTTTTTGTGGTTTGCAGCCACCAAAGAGGTGTTTTTTGAGGGATATTTGGGATTGTTAGGAAGATATCACAATAAAAGCACGGGCGCTGCATGTATTCATGTGAAAGGAGAGCAGCCTCATGTTTATTTATTAGAAATCAAAAGTATCAGATGGGGGATGAGAATCGGATAGAAATCAAAGGAAAATATGTTTATTTTATTTCTTGGGAAGCTGTAGATTTGAGGCTTCAGCAGGACGTTGATGGTCATGAACCTCGACATGCTTGGGCTGCTATTTTATATTTATTTATGATGAAATCAAAATTGTACTGTGCACACCATAAATATTTGGCAGTAGGGCACTAAACCAGGTTTCAGCTTCAAAACCTGCAAACAGGCGCAGTGGGAGAAGTGAGTGCACCTCAGTGCATGCACTCACAGGCTTACAATGTTGATACTGATCATATTTAGATGAGGAATGTGCTGCTTTTGTGTACTGAAGCTGTCAAGAGCAGAGATTGGAAACAGATTTTGTTGGCAGGGCAGTGACGAAGGATCAGGAGAATTGACAGGATTTTCTGTTTGCTCCAAACACCATGCCGTTTTTTACTTCACTGGAATAATTTTGTTGACTTGTTGCATTAAAAGTGGCTGTGATATCAACTTTTAATGATAATTTGAATGCATTTTTAGGAAAGATAACATTAATGGTGCATTGCAAACTAAAATTCACACCACTGAGATGAACGGTTGAGATACTTGCATGAGCAGAAACAGGAAGTGATGTCAAAGGGAAACACCTGGCGTAAACACACAGTAGAGACGAATCTGATGTTTCTGTAGAGTTTGAGTCTCTATCAGATGAAGAATCAAGGTTTAAAAAAACAGTAAGTTCCTCTTTGACATGACTCCTGTTTTTCTATGTCCGTGCCAAGTTTAACAAAACGTATGCCTGTTTTTCTTAAAAAAATAAAAAAAAGGTAAAATCATGTATATAGTGCCAAATTTCTTAAATATTAAAATGTTTTCTTTCACTTTTTGTATTTATAGAGAAAAATGAATGCACTTTAATAAATATGGTTAAATGGAAAAAAAAATTGGAAGAGATGTATTTATCCCTCTACTATAATGGTTATTAAAGTATCTTGTTTTACCCTTTAAAAAGGGTCAAAAGGACAAAAAAGGGTCAAATATCTAAAGACCAAGTGTACTGTAGATATATTTCAATCCAAACAAAAACAGTTCAAGTGTTTGATATCCGTACGTTTTGAAGTTTTCTCACTGGATAGATGGATGATGGCGAACAGACCATTGATCTGGATTGGACATCACCTATAGCCGCTATAGCTAACGACGCGCTGTCACAGGAGCCATTGCTCTGCATTGAGTCATGTCAACTAAACTGTAGAGTTTCAATGCGGGATGCACGTCAACCTGTCACAAAAATATTCATAGCACCCTCATTTCTTATCCGATTTCTATCAATTATGGCTTAAATTAAAGCTGAGAAAATTGGCGATGTTGTGATATGTAAAAATATGTATTTGCTTAAGAGATAAAACCATAAGCAGTCTGGGAACTTTTCATCATAGGTTTTTGCTAACGTATCTACAGTAGAAGCCCCTTTCCGTCACATAAAACTAAAAGTCATGTCTGTTATATATTATAT